CCCTGAGCCAAGCTTGACTTGTGAGGGCTTGATCCAACAGGCTTGGAGCGGCCCACATATCTACTACAGCTCAGTTGGTCTTGCAAGTGTCTAGTTTTCTACTTTAATTCTAGCGATATTTCTTATACTTGCTGGGAGGATATTGAACTGTGGACCTGTGATATTCATAGCGTTCTCTGATTGTGCCTATGGTACCTTAACTCTTTGCTGGCTCTATTCTACATTTCCTTTCAAATCGTTCATGTGTACAGGTTCCTGAGCCTATTGGGCTCTATCAAATCTACATTTGAAACTGTGTATGGAGTCTGCCTTCACCACATTACTGCCTAATACATTCCATTTCTTAACTATGCTGACACTGAAAAAAACAGCGTTGAATGTAATGAAATGCCATTTTCTGGACGAGTCCCGGAGGCTTCTTGGAGCTATCCAGGCTGATATGGCATTATTAGCTTTCTGACATCAAAGTGCATGAAGTTCTTGCCTACCGGGGACCACGAGCCAGAACCTGGCCCCCCTCCCCTCAGAGAGGCACGAGGAGCAATGGACTATAAAAACCCCTGTGTGGTTGGGAGCATTCTATATCTGCCATCGACCGGGTTTGGCATCCAGAAGGTAGGCGCCCCAAAACAAACCCCTAATATGGTGAAAATATTGCTACCAAAAGCCGAACGAGTGGATAGACCTCCCCAAACGAAAATTAGCAAATGAGCATGACATCATCACGTTGCCGCGCCGCTCTCTGCGCAAAACTTATCCCCGCGAGGGGGAAGGGGGAGCCCCAGACCCTCGCGCCGGTGATCCAACTGTCAGTTCTTGGGCTGGATGTCAAAAACACTCGACAAATGCTAGTTTTCTGGTGGGAGCCCCATCAGCTTCCCGGAGCTAACTACCCAAAGACAAGGAAAAACAGGGACTTACCGGGAGGCGGTCAGTCCTCACTCCTCACCGCAAAGTCAAGACAACTGGCTGCAACCGTCGACCCAATGCAACACAAGCCCTACCCGGTCCAGGGATATTGACAAGGTAGCGAGAGGCCAGGATCCTGTTCGACCTCCAAAAACCCCGTGCCCGAATGTCAACCCAAGACATGTTGCTAAAGACGGCAGCCAAAGCAGAAACTTACGAATGTCGTGGGCACGAGGATAGACCGTAGACTGGCTAGACTTAACAACCCTGCGGACGACCTGGAAGATCCGAGCCTGGGAACAGGGAGGGGGGGAAACCGGGTGAACCCAAAGCACATCCCCGTCCACCGAAGCCGTAGCACGCAAATAATGGCAGAGAGCCACAACCGGACAACACATGATGCACCCCTGGCCTGACCAACCAAGCATCAACAACCCAAGGACCCCTCCAGAAAGCTGCAGTCTCATTCTTCACCAGAAGAGAAGGAGACTGCTGCAATCGAACGAACCTACCACCAGGACCAAAAGAGCAGAAACCCGTGCCGGAGGAGAGCATGAAGCTCCCCGACCTGACCCTTAGAGGCCAATGCCAACAGGGAAAAAAAAAGAGCCTTAGAAAAACGGTCCTGAACTGAAGGGGCCACAACAAACCGAGTTGAAGAGAGAAAAGAAGCACCCGGTCCAATGACCAGGGTGGCTCATGTGGCGCATGAGCAGGCCGGAGGTGAAACAACATACGAGACAGTTTGTGGAATGGAGCAGACGTAACATCAATACTGAACGCAAGCTGGAGCAGCTCCACCAGCACCGTACGATACGAGGCGACAGTATTCGGCATAAGATGACAGTCCTGGAACAACCAAGATAGGAAGGATAAGACAAGCCTATCAGAGACCGAAATACACATACGCAGTGATAGGAAAAACCGGAAGGACCCCCAGGAAACTTCATACCATGAAGCACACAGGCAGGGAGACCTCACCACAAGGCACAGAAACTGAAACCAAAACAGGAGCCAGAGGCACAGGACCTGCCAGTATCACATCAGCCAAGAACTGATGTTTGGGTCACCGGCGCGAGGGTCTGGGGTTCCTCCTCCCCCTTCCTAGGGAGAGTGGGGGGGTTGCACAGACAGCGGCACGGCAACGTGATGACGTCATGCTCGTTTGCTAATCTTCGTTTGGGAAGATCTGTCCACTCGTTCGGCTTTTGGTAGCAATATTTTCACCAGAATAGGGAATTTGCTTTGGGGCGCCTACCTTTCTGGGTGCCAGACCCGGTCGATGGCAGACGTGGAATGCTCCCAACCACACGGAGGTTTCTATAGGCTATTGCTCCTCGTGCCTTCCTGAAGAGGTCAGGTTTTGGCTCGTGGTCCCCGGTAGGGAAGAACTCCATGCACTTTGACTGATGCCAGAAAGCTAATAATGCCATATCAGCCTGGATGGCTCTGGGGAGCCAACGGGGCTTCCCCCAGAAAATCTATCTCTGTGGCTCATTTGAGTACTAAGTTTCCACCTGCGCCCCTCTTGTTCATGTTCCGGCCTAAACAGTTGATCTGTGTCCACCCTGTCTATTCCTCTGAGAATTTTGTAGGTGGTGATCATGTCTTCCCTAACCCTTCCGTTTTCTAGGGACATTCGTGTAGCATTTCCTCATAAGTAATACCTCACACCTCTGGGACTAGTCTGGAGGCATCTGAATTTTCTCTAACTTTGTCTTGTGTTTAATTAGGAATGGACTCCAGGCTGGAGCTGCATACTCCAATATTAGTCTGACATATGTGGTATACAAGGTTTTGAATGATTTCTTACACAAGTTTCTAAGGGCAGTTCTTATGTTGGCCAATCTAGCCTATGTTGTTCATGATATCCTTTTAAGGTGGGCTTCTGGGGATAGGGTGTGTGATTTCAACCTACCAGATCTTTCTTTCTAATTGACTCTTGAAGGAATTCCCCTTCCAGATGGTACCTTATGTTTGACCTCCTGCTCCCTTGACCTGCTTGATGGGGTTCTGGGAGTTCTACTCCCCAAGCCCGGCCCAAGGCCAGGCTTGACTTGTGAGAGTTTGGTCCACCAGGCTGTTGCTTGGAGTAGCCCACAGGCTCACACATCCACCACAGCCCGGTTGGTCTGGCATTCCTTGGAGGAAATGATCTCGTTTTCTCTTGAAGATGTCCACGGTTGTTCCGGCAATATTTCCCATGCTCGCTGGGAGGATGTTTAACAACCGTGAACTTCTAATGTTTATACAGTGTTCTCTGATTGTGCCTATTAATGCCCCTTTTTTGAAGAGCAGGGGCACTATTGTGCCCCCCATTCTTCACTGGTTTTATTCTGCATTTTCTTCCATATCGTTCACTCCAGTATGTTGTTATTTTACTGGTTCATTACTTATCACTTACCAGTTATGCTTTACCAGCCATTTCCTAGACCATTCATACCGTTTGTCCAGGTCATCTTGTAATCTCTGTTTATCTTCTTCTGTCTTGATTCTCCTCAGAATTTTTGTATCAACAACATTGAGAGGACTGAGTTTATACCATTTGGAAGATCGTTTACATGTATCAGAAACAGGATGGGGTCCTGATATACACTGGAGCACTGTCCTGTTATTCCTGCCTGTTTCTCCAACTTTTGTAATAGCCTCTTATGGGATACTGTGTCAAAGGCTTTCTGACAGTCTAAGAAAATGTGGTCTGCCCACCCTTCTCTTTCTTGTCTAATTTTTGTCACAGAATTCTATTAAACCTTTAAGGCATGATTTACCATCCCTGACCCTATTCTGGTGGTGTGTTAAAAAGCTCCTTCTCTCCAGATGTTGTATGAGCATTTTCCTCACAATCTTCTCCATCACCTTGCATGGTATACAAGTTAGGGAAACTGGCTTGTAGTTCAGTGCCTCTTGTCTGTCACCCTTTTTGTATAATTGGGACTACATTAGCTGTCTTCCAGCTTTCCAGTAGGCCTCAAGTTTCCTGTGACCTGTTATACACCACACAAATAGCTTCTGCACACTCTTTTATTATCTGTGGTGAGATTCTTTAAGATCCAACAGCCTTTGTCACATTCAGCTCCAACAGATTCCTTTTGATCTCACCTCTAGTAAGTTCAAATTCCTCCAAGGTTCCTTGGTTTACCGCCTCCAATAGATATGCAGAAATATACAACACAATATGTAGAAATAGTGTGTTGTGTTGTAGTGTGGTGCTTCTCTATCAGTGACACCTAGCTCTTTATGTCTCGCCTCCTACCCATTTATACCTAGCATGCTAATTACCTCATCCACCATCAATGTTTTTATCGCACTTAAAGTTGTGAATGAAGATGGTTTCAAGAACCTCTTCCTTCACTGCATTCCACTTGCAAACTTCCTGTTCAGGGAGTGAGAACCTAGTCACATCTATACAGTTTAACTCCATGTCCACCTTCCATTGAAAGTGAGAGACAGGGTAATAGCATTGAATGCTATACAATAATAAAGAACTGAGTAAATGCATTTTTAATGCAATTAGTGATACAATGATGAAATTTTACTTACTATTATATACAGTGGTTTTAAGACACACATTCCAAATTTGAAAAGAATATCTTCCTTATGGCATAAAATACTATACTGCAATTGCCTATATATACTGCAAATCTTCCTATATTACCATTTGCAACTAAAAGCCCTGGATGTGTCTCTTGGCAGTATGGCATGTAAATAGAAATTTGAGTGCAGCTATACTTAATTTTTAAAATGGCATGTCTGTAACCAGAGGGCAACATATCCAAATAACAATAGTGATCTTCCAAAGACCACAATACATAAATATTGATCATTTCAATCTGATGAGGGGGCATTTGATAGATCTTGGGCAACTAAAAATGAAAAGAAAAAAAATAATGGATAAAATCATAATGTATCTTTATCGAAGATACTTAAAAACCATATACTGTACTGTAATGCAAACTAATTCAAAGAAAAAGATTTATGGATAATTCTTAACCAGTACTGTACTTTATCACCAGAAAACCACACATGCTAGTTTCAGAATAGCTTTTAAGTACATGGATGGAGAAATGTTTAAGAAATAATTTACTACGTACGTCAGACCATAACTGGAGTACACAGCTGTGGTATGGTGCCTGCACCTAAAGAAACATAAGATAGAAAACGTCCAGACATGCAATAAAATAGATTCCAGAGCCCAGGCTGGTGCAAGCACTAGTCAAACCAGGCAGCTGCCTAGGGTGGTAAATATAAAATGGTAAACTTGGGTATAAACTATGAAACTGAACATGGGATGGAAAAGGAGACGGGGAAGAAGGTGCACTTGAAGGTTTGGTTACGGAACCAATTACCACTGTACTCAAAATATGAGGCGCAAGGAATGATGAAAGGTTATGGATATGCCCCGATTTGAAGATATGAACCCAGCATTAAATGTAATGAAATGCCAATTTCTTTTGCATCCCCAGTGGCTTCCTGAAACTATCTCCCTGAAAATGCTTCACACTCCATTAGTACATCAGCCGTGGCTAGTTCTGTTGGCCTACCAGGGACCTGGCCCCCATCTTTCCTCACAGAGGCACAGAGAGCAGGTGACAATCTTACCAGAGGAAGCCTTCAGAAAGTCAGCACAGCTTTGCAGACAACTGGAGGGTTCACAGAAAATGAACCCACGAACAACTGCCACACAACCACAGCAAATGAGTTGCATGGAACAAGAGATTCACAGAAATGAGCTCGAAACGTGTTAGGACCGATTACCACCACCAAGCGGCCTGGCCCCGACTCCCAACCAGCTCTCCACATCAGTTCTAGACCTGATGAACAAGCCCTCAACGAATTGAAGAACCTGGAAAGCAGGAGGAGAGGCAGGGAGTCATCAGGGATCCTCTAGAAACTGGCATTTCACTACTGTACATTCAATGCTGGGTTTCTGAAAGGACCACCATGTTGTTCCATGAAGCCACTCTAACCACAGAGAACAAGAAAGGGATGTACACATGGAACCCTTCTCCACTTCAGTCTTCAAGGGATTCATTTGCTACCACCACCAAGATCTGCACTAGTGACAGCTCTGTACCAGGAAAGAGGTGAGGCAGCAGTCACTGATGACAAGAGAAATCAGGCAGGGTGACAGCCCAAAGCCATATCCCTGTACAACTGACTAGACTCAGGAGCATTAACCAAATATCAGGCCACCAAGACCCAGTTAGAATGCCAAACACCCGAGTCCAAATATCAGTTCACGACATATTAGAAAAGACTGCAGCCAAAGCTGTGGAATGAAGACCATCATGTGCCAGAGGGTAAACCTCAGACTGGCTAGACCTGATCAATCTACAAACAAATGTGAACCTCAGAACAGGGAACCAAGGAAATAGGATCCTCCAATAAGGCATCCACTGTAACAGAATCGGTGGCATGCAGGTGCAAAAGCTGCCACGGGACACAACCAAAGGGCTACTCTGCAAGCCTGCTGACTCAATTTTTGCCAGAAGAGAGGAAGAAGGCTGCAAAACAAACAAACCAAACTTTTGACCTGCCAGAGACAAAAAAACAAAACCCCTTACCTTTGGAGAAGAGACTGAACCTCCCCAACCCGACAGCCACAGGTGAGAACTAACAGGAAAACTGCCTTAAGAGAAACACCATGAGCCCAAGGGAAAACTAATTCAAGGCGAGGAAAGATAAGCCAAAACATAGTCTTAAGACCCGGACAGCATGGGAAAAGCATGAGCAAGCAGGAGGCGAAGGAACGTGAGCAACAGTGGCTCCACCGAGGCAGAACAGTGGTGAAAAAAATGCCAGGTCACCTCGTACTATATACATGAAGAAAGACACAGGTGAGAGATCAACAAACCCAACACCTGCATGCAATACAAATGGTGACAGAGATGCATTAGAAACCCCAGATGCAAAGAGCAGAGGTGAAGTTTAAACCAGCGAAGTACACTGCTGGCACATTCTGTCGCTAGATGCAGAGCCATGGAAAACCCCAGGTACAAACATCGTGCTAGAAGCACCAGAAAACAAGGCTGCACCAGCCATCAAATTGCAAATGAACTTGGGAAAAAAGAGGTGAATACACCTCCACCGCAACCAATCCAGTTCAAAGGCATCCACTGCCAAAGCCTATCAGGAGGGAAGTCCCCAGTTTCATGCTGACACGAAGAGGTTCACCTCGAGGAGCACGAATATTTTGCAAAGTCAATGGAAGGATGTGTCGTCAATGGTCCACTCCATGGTGACGGACTGAAAGCAAGACAGCACATTTGCGAGGACATTGGATACACCCTATACATGAACCGCATGGACAACCAAATGCTGAAAAGCCAGAAGCTGTACCAAACAAAGCATCCAGCTCTGCAGGGAAATAGCAGAGAGACCTCCCTTGGTTAAGACAATGGAGCACCAGGGAGCAATTGGGGTGGAGCCAGAGAACTGAGCCAGGAGGAAGGTAAATCATACAGCGCAAACTCGTGTGTGGTGCTGTGCGCCTAAAGGAACAGACCCAACTACCAGCCTTGGGCAGCCTTATGAGAGCTGGACTCCAAGTCTCACTTGAGGAATGAGGCATCCAGAAACACGCCGAGTGACAGGGAAGGAGGGCGCCATGGAACCAAACCCCCATAACCCAAGGGAAAAGTCAGTGAAGCAAAAGCCAACAAAGGACAGGAAGGATTTGAACCCGCCAGTCCTGGGAACAGTGAAAAGAGCGGAACCAGAGAAAGCTGAACAATGCCTGGAGCCAAACTATACTCAAGGGAAGACAAGACAGGCATAGTTCAGGCTCCTGCACAATTGCTTGACCAATCAGCAAGTCATCTGGGAGTGATCCAACATCAAGTGGCAACAGAGCTGCAAGCAGAAAAAACCTGCAGGAGACAGGGAAAGAGACACCGATTGAGTTTCAAATGAGACAGCGAAGTCTGAACCTGGGATGGCATCAATTGGGACTTCTGTCAATTCACAAGGAACCTGAACGAAGTATGCCAGGAAAGAATCAGGAGTCAGATTCACAAAGCAGTTACACAAGTACTTACGAAAGTGTCCATCTGTCCTCAATCTTTGACAGCTTGGGTTACATTTATTAAACAGTTTACAAGCATGAAAACTTCCCATTTAACTATTGTTATTGTTATAAACAGCCTCCTGGTGCTTCGCAGCTCATTAACTGTTTAATACTGTAATTGTAAACAAAGCCACCAGAGATTGAGAAAAGATGTACAGGTTCGTAAGTGTTTGCGTAACTGCTTTGCGAATCTGCCCCCAGATCCCTAGCTAGCTGACAAACAGACTGACTAGTGGATCCACACCAGCCAGTTATCGAGGTAACCTAAGATACGAACCTTTAACAAATGCATCAGGGCTACAACGACCCACACAGGTCTGCTAAACATGCAGGGGTGCAGGTTCAAGCCAAAAGAAAGAACCCCGAAGCTGTGAGCATGACGCCCCACGACAAAGTGTAACCACTGTGATGCGCCAACCGAGAAAACTCGGTCGATGGGAAACTGTGCAAACCAAGAAAACACCTTTAGAATATTTCGTACCCATTCAAAACGCATGCACGGTAGGTTGTGTACGAAATGTATTCTTGGGACCTCCAGTGAGAGGCAAAACAAAACTTAGACAAAATTCTCAGAATGTCATAGGGCTGCTGGCTGGCTTAGTACCGAGTAAGCAATCATGGGTGGTTCACGCGCCTGTGACTCTCAAAGACCTGTCCGACGCAGTGTCGGTAAAATTCGGACCTTATTGTATGAAGAACATAAGGGTCATGATATTGATGAAGCTAGGCGCAATAAGGACCTAACACAAAAGTCGGATGCAAGTGATACAGCGAGTGTATCCAGTTGTAGCTCTGAACGCCATCCTTGCCATCTCCAATTTTAATTGATGATACACAGATGAATTGTTTTCTGGGTTCAGTGATGATGCATCTGATACAAGTAGCATAGATGAACAGTGTTAGTGGCTTCCATAGTGGTGTTTTCGATAGATATTTTCAAGAATAGCTGAATCTCTTCCTGATTGACTGAATTTCTTCCAGAATGACTGAATCTCTTCTAGCAAGGGATTTTTCAAAGCAATCTTTTCAAAACTACCTTACAAATTGATCTTTTGCAAGCACACAGAATGAAGAAACTGGAAGCGAAAATCTATCTGTACCTGGCGCATCGAGAGCGAAGTCGCGCTGCGTACCATGGACTGTTTCGTTGATTATCACTCACTTCCGAAGTACTGAGTGTGTAATAGTGTGCTACTGTGTAAATAGTGTGTGAAACTGTACATATTGTAATTTTAATGAATTTTTAACAAGTAATATTGCGACAATAAATATTTATTGTGGACAAATTACCGACATGTATCACAGTGCCATGGAACATTATGAATGTTCTACTGTATACATATTGTAAAGGACACATATGCATCATATACGGTAAAAACAAATAAAACAGCATTGGAAATACATAGAACAAATAATTGAAAAAATATCTGTGGCAACTCGTGATGCTTGAATGACCCGTGTGACCGCCTCTGGGAGCTTCACACACGGGTGACCAGCCCGTGACGCCCCCTTCTCCACAGCCAAAGTGGAATTTTTTATTTTTTTTTTTAACATGTTCAGGGTAGGGGATTTATAATTTTACAAAGAAAACAAAAATTGTGAACACTTAATTTTATGCGCATAGGGGGAAAGTCAAAAACTTGGCGTAGCACAGTGGTTAAACAGTCCATGATCTCCCAGGTGACTAGTGATGTGCCAGTATGTATTCTTGAGGTCCAGGGACACTAATCAAGTTCCTGCCTGCTATACCTGGTGAACCTGGGCTAAAGAGTTATGCAGGTTGAGCAGGGGATGAAGGCATTCAGACCAGAGAGAGATTGAGGAACAACCAGGACACTTACTGAAGGGATGAGATCAGCTTGAACATGCCTGAGACCAACCAATCTGCATGAACCAGACACAGTACCAGAGAGAACTCCTGAGGCCGAACAGACCCAATTCCAAAAACAGGAGTTAGGTCTGTTTTTTGGTGCCGAATCTAAATAATCTACATGTCTGCAGCACAGCCTGCAGACACGGAAGGCGGGGCCAAATAAAATGCTGCCACCACCTCCCGAAGGAGAGGGGCTAGCATCTTAGGCATGGCCACCAGGGCCAGAACTACAGCCACATCCTCATGTTGACATGCATGCCTGGGTCCTTGTGGAAGAGCTTGCTGCAAGCCTACAGCTAGGTGTGAACGCATATTGCAGTCATCTGCAATAAGCGTCAGCAGCTACACATGGAGAGTAGCCCCAAACAGTATAGACAGCTGCATGTTGAGCTGCCACTTGCCCATATCCTTGGCAAACATCAGAGAAAACTGGCAGGACTGAAGCAGAGAAAACCAAGAAAACTCAGAAACTTAGAAACACCTAAAAGACCTCCTGCTACACAGGAATGACAGAACCCTTGCCAAGACCCCCCCCTAAGGAAAGAAAAAGGTTGTCACCTAGTCAGGATGAGCCTGAGATCTCAAACTACTGTACAACTAATATAAGATGGACCCGAACTCAAAGAAAGAGACAGGGTCCATCATAGAAAAAGAGGTCCAACTCTGCAGGAGATACAGAAGCAAATCTGCACAAACCACCAAAGATGGTGCAGGAGGATGGAAACCTCCAGAAAAATAATAAATCAGGGTTGCCTAATTGGATCAGTAAATGAACCTAAGGGAAAGCAGCTGAATGATCCAACTCATACACAGTAGAGGGATAAGAAAAATTATCCCCCCCCCCCCCTGCAACATAAGATCCTACACAGAGAGAACCAAGAACCAATCAGGGCAGAAAAGAACCCAAAAGCACTTGGCTGAAGTTTTCAGGCTCGTCCATGAGCTGGTGTAGTGACACCAACATCAGGGACAGAACTAAGGTGGGGAGCTGGCAGGGAACCGGGCCGGGCAGAACAGTGGTGGTAAACGGTACTAATGAGTTTCAAGCTTGTTTGAATAAATCCATTTGTTCTGTTTGACTCATTTGCAGTGATTGTTATGCATTTTTTTGAGGTTTCATTTTCTGTGAACTCTCCAGTTGTCCGTAAAGCTGTGCCGACTTTCCGAGGGCTTTCCCTGGACGAGGTGACAGATTGTCATCTGCTCTGTGCCTCCTTGTTAGGGCCAGGTTCTGGCTCTGGTCCCCAGTAGGCCAACAGAACTAGATGTGGCTGATGTATCCTTTTAGTGCAGCGCAATCTCAGTCTCGGGAAGACAGCTTCAAGGAGCCACAATGGGTTCGCTCCAGAAAATTGCAATGATATGTGAGAGTTTATAAACAGGCAGTAAAGTGTTTCTTTAATTAGAAATAACTATTACACTGTCTTGAATAAAACCGATGTTTAAACACTGCACTGTGCAAAGCACCTTAAAGTACCCAATCGTGGGTGCACACAGCGCCACAAGGCACTTTTATGTATAGGGAATGATTCAAAACTCCCACAGGTACATAGGGCTCACATCCTGTGCCTCAGGACTCCAGGAAACAAATACATCTTGTAAAAAAAAAATCATCAGCATTGATACTGGCTGTGAGAGCCTCAGTATTGAGAGAGCGACCAAGGCTGGCACATGCAGCAAGAGCTCTCAGCACAGCTGTGCAGATCGGGACCACAGCACCACATAATAATGAATAATAAGTAACAGTGATAGTGTGGTAGATGATCCTGACTGTGATAAAGGCTACATACAACATTCAGATATCAGTGAACACAATGCTCCTTATGATGTTCACAGCACGAGGCAGACAGCCACAGCACTTCGTCATTGTTTGCTGCATCTACGCTTGATGAAACGACATCATGCTCCCTTACAATATAACCTTGTGGGAATGGATTCACATTCAGGATTTAGAGACTGGACGTAATAATAATAGCAGTTTTGTGGCTAGTCTTAGCAAAGTATGTGATATATATATATATATATATATATATATATATATATATTGGAGGCATTTTCTTGTATCAGGTGAAGTCTGCTGGCATTGTCTGATTGAATCGTATGGCTCTGCTGTGTTTATATTTCATCATCACACCCACCAGAACTGCTTATTGGTTCATTATGGTGCATTGAAATGTTGATAGATATACATGATGTTTGTATATCGTGTAACAACAACAAATACTATCTTTATTATTCAAAGAATATAATATTTGAACTCATATTAGTACATGACACGAATACTGTATATCTGTGAGTACCAATATTCTACACGTTTTGTGATACAAATATTATCATTGACAGGCCACTGCAAATTACACTTCAAAAAACCATTGTAATAACATTTACAATACAAAGAAAATATGATATATTTAATCCTTGCTGTTACAATTTCATGTAAATAATGATTCATCATTATGATAAATAATGTGCCCAATAATGATAAACAATTCATCATAGCCAAAAACAAAAGAAATACTAGTAATTATGTAATAACAGTTTCCTAAAAACAATGTGCACAGGCTGAAGTTTCCTTAAAAAATATTGTGAGTTTTTTCCTCCTGGCGGCCTCCGTAACGTGCTATAGCTGCCCCAAGTGGACCCGTCCAACACTGGTCAACCCATGTGCTCCCGTCCCTCGTGTTATACCAGTGTCGTGCCATTAGTGAAATATTTTTTTTAAATAAGTTTTTTATTTTCATAGTAACTTTGAACATTTTTGGCCAAGACTATGTCTGGTAGCAGCATCAATCGTTCTGGAGGTGTTAATTAAGAGGAAGAAGGTTGTCGTAGCAAAGACAAGTTACGTGTTGTTCAACCAGTGAGGCGTCACAGGCAGCCAAATGCTTTCAACAAGTGAGGCGCCACAGGCAAGCCAAGCGCCTTCAACAAGTGAGGCGTCACAGGCAACCCAAATGCCTTCAACCAGTGAGGCTTCAGCAGCTGGCAGTCAAAACTATCTTTGCTTAATAAACTGTAAAGTAATTTTAAGTGTTAATTTTAGTGTTGTGTTAGTATTGATTGGGATTATATAGATTGGGTTACACAAATTGCTAAGAATTCTTGACTTCAAGATGTGTGGCATCAATCAAGAAGACGAACACCAACAAGGTAAGTTGAGGTTTCTAGTTGAATATTTAATAATTATATGTTGCAAGGCAATTCAAATTATGTTGTTTGTAGTATAAAAATAGTTGGAAATGGTCACTTTTGGACTCGGAGGTGAAAAAGTACCATTATCTGGAACATGTGAATATCCGGCTGGGGGTCCTTCCCATATAGTCCGGATAATCGAGTGGAGACAGTATATATTAGAAGAGTTAATTACATTTTTGTTGTTTCATTATAACCAACACTGTAGAGTCTTTAAGTTAATGTGTAAGTGTTTGCCCATTGTAAATGGCCAGACACAGACAACCTCTAAAAAATTTACTTAAAACTAGAAAAATAAACTTAAAATTGTGAAATAGAGGAAAATAATGATGATAAATTACAACTACTTTTGTTGAATATTTAAATAGAGGAGTATTTATAATTTTCAAAATAAGTATTAAGACTGTCTAAATTGTCTAAATGTCTAACATGTCTAAATTGAAAGCAGATTTAAGTGCCTATTCAATAGGTACAATAACCCAAGACTAGAGAAATCCAAGAGGTGACTTACTTGGTGGCGTGGCTGTAGATGATTAACTGCAAGGTGAGCAGGTATAACTCCAGGACCTCCCGAGTAATCCATCCTTGGTGGCGCACTCTCTCCTCCCCCAGCCATACCAACAGGATGATAGCCAACACCCATAGGTCTCTGTTGCTGTGGTTGCACTTGAGGGTAATGGTGACTTGAGGTACTAGTAATGGGGGGACCAGCATGACTATAGCCATGACCAGCTTGATCTGATGGAAGATAAGCAGAGCTAACTGGTTGTTCAACAGCAGACTGAGTAGTGGAATATCCAGATGGTCCTATCGGTTGACCAGGTACTGGGCCCAGGAAGGAAGAGGGACCGCCTGCTTGAGAGGCTTGTTGGGGATGTTGCTGCTGCTGCGACGTGGGCAACACGCCAGTCACAACAACTGGCTGTGTCACGTGCATTTGACCTGAAGCAACACTTGGGTCCTGAGGAACGAGAAGCCCTACACCAGAAGTGGTTGTCATTGTATTTACTCCTGGTGTCAGTATGAAAGACACTGTCCCTGCATGAGCAGTCACCGCTGGGGGTAAACCAAGTCCAGCGGCAGGTGGTGGCACTCCTAGAGCCATGCTTGTGTTTGGTGGGGGTATTGATGCATTTACAGTGGGTGGATAAGGATTTTCTGGAGTGCCATGGGGAGTGACACTAGTAAGTGGACTTGAGGTACTGATGGTATTTGATAAACATGAAGTTGAATATGAATTACTAAGCCCTATTGATCTTGCCATGCTTGATTGTGCTGTTACGTCACTAAGAATTGAAGTCTGATTCATAGCTATATGGTTGTTTCCAACAGACACTGCTAAAGATTGAGGTGCTGGTTGCTGCTGCACCATTGGATTTGGCACTCCTTGTGGATCATGTAAGGCATTTGGGTGTGCCTGATGGTTTGTAGGCACTGGTGCCACAGGAGCAGCAACCTGGGTACCCGTTGCAAGTGCTACCAAACGTGGACCTTCGGGCGTGTTAATAATTTGGGTGCCTGGGGGCAGTGTAACTAATTGGGTACCAGAAGATGTGTGTACCAGCTGTTGGTTTGCAACTGCTGTAGCACTTGAGACCACTGGTGGTGCTGTGAGGTGCACAACCTGCTGAGGTAGAGAGACAACTGTAGCCTGTATCACCTCCTGCTGTGGCATTACATCCTGAGAGACTCCTGCTCCACCAGGCTGGAGGTGTGGCGCTAATACTGTATGCATCACGCTAGCATTCACTTGAGGTCCACCCACTTGACCTTGAAGTGGAACTTGAGCAGGAGCCATTTGATGATGTCCAACATGTGGAGGCACCATCTGTGAATGAGGTGGTACCTGAGGTGGAACCATCTGGGAATGTACCATCTGTGGAGGAGGAGCTGGAGGAGCAGTCATTTGGTGAGGGGCCACTTGGACTGGAGCCATATGAGGTTGTCCAATTCCACCACCACCTGTCAGAATAAATGACTATGTATGGTCTACAATAAAATTTCAAAAATAAATGCCCTGTTAATCTAGAAAACCATCAATTTAGTTTTCTGTTTACAGAAGTAAATTATTTTAATTTGCTGAATGTACACAAAGAATAACATTAGAGGCAATCCACATTTAACTCCAGATTTAGTTTGTCCGCACCATAACGTGTCATTAGCAACACAATGATAGTGTCAGAAACCATTCAATACTGAATATCGAACCATTTATCATGCTAGATTCACTGTAAATTATTTATTTAGAAATAAGTTTATCTTTTGTTAAACAAGATGATATATATATATTAAACGTTTACAAGATTGTGTAATAAATCTTATGTATGAAGGTCAAAACTCGGTGACAAATACCTAAAGTTACATCTGGCTGCTGTGGAGGTGGTTGGCTAAATAAAGGTGCTGGTTGCTGCATCTGCTGTTGATGCTGCTGCTGTTGCTGCTGCTGCTGCTGCTGTTGTTGCAGCTCTTGTTGTACTTCGGCAATAACAGTTTGAGCCAGATTCACTACCAGATCCTTTGCTTGGTTAAATTGATCTTGGTTGTCATGCCTATAAACATACAATTGAAAATTACATTATTTAACTTATTATATATATATTTTTAAATATACATGAAGGATAAAATCTTGCAGAGACTGGAGGAAATGTGCAAAACACAAAATTAACAGTTTCAAAGTGTGTTCTTATAAAATGCAGCTTTCACAGCACCTAACACACTTTGGAACAATTTTTTTTAGAGAATGGCTGAGGGACTTAGGTAGAAAGAAAAGATCAGGTGGAGTTTCACTCTGGGCAATGAGACTATGTGCTTGCAAACTTAGCAACCCAAAACAAATGATTTTCCAGACATCTTTACAGACAAAAACCTTGCAAACATACAGAGAAAGGCAAACAGTTTCAATTAATAAAAACTTGGCCCTTTAAACTATACACCAGTATCACTGACAAACATTATAGCCTAATACCATAGAAAGTACAGTAATTAAAGCTAAATGAGAGAATATCTTGAAATAAATGTCATAATTAGAAAGGAAAGGGAGGGAATGCAGGGGGAAAGTGCCAAGCCATTATGACTATACAGCACTTGGAAGGGGTCAGGATAAGCATCTGGGATGGAAAGGAAGGGGGGGGAGGAAGGGTGTCCAACCATTTAGACATTCAGGGATTGAATGCCGACCTGCTTGAAGCGAGAGCGTCGCTCTACCGTCCAGCCCAAATGATTAGTCACCATAATTAGAGGCAGTATGGGTTAAAACCGGAGGATTCTAACAAAAGTACTCAGTTTCCATGTTAGGGTTGTAGAGATCCTCCAGGAAATAAACAGTTTGACTTACAATATACATGAGACTTAAATTGGAATATGCAACAGCAGTACTGTATGGTGCCCTAATCTCAAAAATAGTAAAAAAAGCGCAAACATTGCTACCAAAAGACTGCCAGACCTAAAACACAAAAGCTATGAAAGAGGCTGGCAGCTTACCTGCCAAAATTCGTTGACAAGAAATAAAGGTGATACAATCAACATCTACAAAATTCTGACAGGAATAGTAAATTTTACGAGGAATTCTTAAAATTTTCAACGTTGAGAAGAAACCATTGATTCAAAGAAAGTAAACAAAGATGCCAGATAAATTAATGTAAAATATCCTTATTAGTGGTTGACCAATATGATAGATTAAATGAAGGTATTGTATTGTATGTTAAGAGAGAGACAGGATGCCTTTAAAACTATACATGACAAACATTAACATACTCAATAGGGAAGATGTGAGACCATGAGCATCTCTCTCATCCTGTTACTACACTTGGGTAATTAAATGGCCAGCACACAGCCACAGTGTTGATAAGACTGTCTATCTTCCAAATTTGTGAACAAAAATTCCAATAACTGATCATTTTTGAAAATTTCAAGATTTCTGTTATTTTGTTTTTGATTTCTGAGGCTAGTCCTGGTCCTTAATACAAAACTATTTTCCTTAGCAGAAAGGATACAACACAGCTCGGTGTCAAATAGAGGTGGTTAATAAAGAACCGAAAAAGTGCCAAAAGGAAATAAAAGAAACACGCATACTATAACAAATCCACAAGGGCCGTGATGAAGCTTCGAATCTACGTCTGGGATGATCCCAGACGCGCCTTAGTGGACTGTGCCACAACACGGTTAAAAGAATTGCAACTTTGAGAGCTACTCCCCTCACGATTAACCCACAGCTTCTCTGAAGCACAAACTGAGGTTTCACACAATTCCCCCGTGCACCCGGGTTCTGTCAACCAAATACTCTACCTCTTTACACACATACAATCTACCTCTGATACACACAGAAATCAGAACAGTGTGATATATCAATGAACAAATCCACAAGGTTGTCATGTACCACAAATTCTTGTGGATTTGTTCATTTGATATATCACGTTATTGTGATTTCTGTGTGTACGACTACTATAGTTGGAAGAGAGAAAGCAACGATCAAAGAAGTATGTTTGGAATTAAGCAATTAGAAAAGAACTGGTTACCAACAGTAAATTAGTACAAAACACTGCAGGTAGAAGTCTAAAATTTTCTTTTGGTATCAAGTAAAGAAAATAGTACAGTACCATCTAAGATAGACAAGGGAGCAGGAGAGAAAACAAGAGAGAGAAATAGAAGGTTTAGAAGACCTCACAACAAAGGAAAATATCAGTGAATTTAGGAGGATAGGGAAGAAAATATTTTAAATGTCATATCAATAAGGGGCTACTCTACTCAATTTGGTGATGTGACAGAAAATTAAGAAGGGTGGAGGCATTGCCATGTTGGTGAAAGAATCTCTGAAAGTTAAGAGAGTTAATAATAAACAGCCCACAAGCGGTTAACATAATGGCACTGCAGGTTTTGAATCTGGATAATAAATTTATAATCGCATATGCTTCCAGTCCACCAGAAAGCAACACATGGACAAAGGAGGAGTTGGATGACAAATGAGAGAGGGCCTCATAATGGTCATGATTATAGTAAGAGCCAATATAGATAAATCACAATTGTTGGAACTGGGTGACTTTAACTTGAAGGCAATAGAATGGAAGGCCTACAAAGTAAGAATGGAGGACATTTGGACAAATTTGTAAACCTCATCCTTGAGACATTTATGTATGAACACATTAAGCAGGCAATGAGAATAGGGAAGGGGATGTTCCATTGGTGCTGGATTTAATATTCACCAGGAATGAGGAGGATATATTTGAACATCCTTCCCTCGAAAAAGAGCAACTATGTTCTCTTCAAAATAAAATACACTGTACGCAATGTGTTATAATCTAGAAGATAATGCGGGGAAAATTAAACATTTGCTAAAACTATATTTTAGGAGAGGACACTATGAGGAACTAAGCAAATTCTTTAATGAATTTGCTTGGAAAGGCTTGGTGTTAGGCAAGGAAGTAAATGCCAAATTTTCTGAGATACAGTATACAATGAAGGCACAACAAAAATTTATGTCAAAATAGAGATGCAGAACTAGCAAATAGGATTGGTACAACAGACGTTGAGAGAGAGCCAGAGAAGAAGACAAAAAATGAGTGTAATAAAGGAAGCGTTCTAACTCTCAAACATACCAGCACTACAAAGAAGCAAAAAACAACTACACTGCAGCGAGGAAAGGCAAAAAAAAAAAAAAAAAAAAAAAAAAAAAAAACTCTGAAAGTGGTAGTGGACATATATAAAAACAGAACCAGGCCTTTTCTACAAATTTATTAAAAGCAAACTGCAAGTAAAGGACAAAATTCAGATTTAAAGTAGGGAACAGATTCAATGGAAAATGAAAATGTTCCACTAAATTTCACTAGTTTTTGCATACAAAACAAACTTACTCTAAGTAAAAATGTAGCGAGTCCTGTGCCTCTTGGCCAGTGCCATGTTCATGATAGCCAGATCCAATTCCTCGGATGGATATGGCCACACCAGTTTCTTCCTGAATATAACGGAGATTCATGCCACTTTCTCCCAGTAGACGAGCTCGAATATCAGTAGGGTTTAAGCCAATATTTACAGGTAGAAACACCTTTTCTCTGAATATCTGGAACAATAAACCAAACCAGATGAAATACAACCAAAAAAACTGAAATAATCTCCAATGATTTATGAACATACAATAATAAAGATATTATTCCTTTTAATACTATAGTTCAGCACATAAATGAGAAGTGATCAGTTTGGTTTTATGCAGAAATTATCTTGATAACAAATATGCTATGCTCAAGTTAGCATGGTGCCAGGACAGTACCTTGGGATACAGTTCTTCACTGTGGCCAGACTTAATTTTGTCTGCTTACCATTACTATAGTGACCAGTTTGCTAGGGAAATTGGCTATTTATCACCCCACTCTGCTTGTGAGTGAGAGTGAGACAGTGAGCGAGTGAAATTACAGGATGAGAGCTACACTCGTTGTGTCCTGTCTTCCCAGCACTCTTTGTCTTGTAATATTTTGAAACTCTTCAAAAGTCGTTTTGAAGATTAATTTGGCCTCTGCCATCTTCTTGTTAACTTGTTCCAACCATCTACCATTGTTTGCAATCGAAAACTTTCTAATATTTTTGGGGCCCCTTCTGTTTTCTTAGCTTGAATTTATGGCCTCTTGTTCTTGAGGTTACCAGTTTATTGCCTTGATGAGTTCCTCTTTGTCAATTTGGACGATTCCTGCTATTATTTAATGATCACCTTTTTTTTCTAATATCTTCTAATTTTGGCATATTTAATGCCTCCAGCCTTTCTTCATAACTCCTGTTTTCCAGATCTGGAAGCTATTTTGTAACACGCCTTAGCACCTTTTCCAAATGCCTTTGCATTTGGCAGAGGACTCCAGTGATGACTGTGGATGTCTCTTCAATCATTTCTTCCCTTTTATGTTCATTCACTTCAGTTTTGTGTTGAAAAACTAGATTTATGGACATGCTATTTACAAAACCATAGCTTGAGTACATTACTAACTATAAGGATAATGTATTTAAGCCTACAATGAATTTATGTATCAATAAGAATTAAGGAAATTTTAAAAGGTCCATCAGTCCAGATGAGGCAGATAATATTCATAGCCACCAAAACTCATTTGTATGAATGAGTTTGGGTGGCCAATAGACTTTCTGCAAATACCGTAATTCTTAGGTTACTATGAATGAGTCTGGGTGAATGTAAATAGGAGCTGCCTCATATGGGCCAATACACCTTCTGCAATTCTGTTGTTATTATTATGTTCAAATATAATTGGTTGACCTGGTATATCTACTTGTTAACTACCTGTTGTTGGTGCCCTGGATCAACATCCCCATGGCCTAGTCTTTGACCGAGCCTTCTGGCTAGTAGACTGGTCAACCAGGCTGTTGGATGCAGCTACTTGTAGCCTGATGTATAAATTACTACCTGGTTGATCAGGAATCCTTTGGGGGTGTTTATCACATTCTCTCTTGAACATCATGAGAAGTCAGTCAGCTATACCTCTTGTATGCAGATGGAGTGTTGAAAAGTCTTGAGCCCCTTGATGTGATAAGAGTTCTATCACAGCGTACCTATTGTACCTCTGCTTTTCAACAGGGCTATTTTCCACTTCCTGCCATGCCTTGATCTCATATGGAGTTATTTTGGTGTGCAGATTTGGAACCAGTTCCTCTAATGATTTGCTAGTGTAAATTATTATGTATCTCTCTTGCTAGCACAGAGAATAAAGGTTCACAAAAATTAAGCAGTCCCAATAATTTTGATGTTTTATTGAGTGGTTTCTGGACAGTAAAAGACCTTTGCAATCTGTCCAGCTTTGAATGGGCTGCTATTGTGCAACAATATTCTACCCTAGTGTCTTGTCTTAAACTAGTGTCTTAAATATCATGTGTGGGGCATCCCTTATTTGAAAGGTTCTTGTTATCTAGCCTGTCATTTTTCTTGCAGTTATAACAGCTACTGTATTGAGTTCTTTAAAAGTAAGGTTTCCTTACATGATTCCTCCCAAATCTTCAATATTGCTTTTCTTTCAATAGTGTGGTTTGACTTCATTTTATATATGGTTTCTGTTTTAATACTTTTGTATTTACCATAGCACATCGGTATACACGTCATAAGATTATAATGGAATTTTATACTATGATGATTATAGCACTGGTATAACATTTGTGATGATAACCATATTTGCATAGTAAACAACACTACAGTCATAAATAGCTATTATATTATCATCATTGGTATCAAAACCTGACAATAATAATTAAAATGAATGTATGATGGTAACTGCATTACCCTGTGAATCATCGTATGACGATAACTCCACTACCCTGTTAATCAACGTATAACTGTAACCGCACTTTAATGATTAAAAACGTGATCTTATACATTCTTTAAGATTCTCAGGTGAGGGTGATCCCGACGAGGGGTTTCATTAGTTTTTGTCCTATGACATTGCAGCTAAGTTTATTCTCATTGTAATTATTCTGTTTAATAATTTAAGGATATTCAATAGCAAAACTTTATTTATAAATTGTTTTTATCTATGACAAGAAATGTTGGAAATTTGTTATATCTTCATCATAAAATAAGTTGCCATTTTCCTCTATTTGTAGAGCAATAGAAAAAGTTCTCAAGTTCATCATGGTATAATTACATCTGATATACAGAGTAAATCACAAAACAGAAGTTGACACAAATGGATACTAACAAACTGTGTAAAAGCAAACTTCAAACATCTACCACTACATTAGCAATATAAAGCACAGCATAAACTAACATTTGTCAATGGAGGAGGTGGCTGCGTCTGAGGCGGGGGTGCAGACATGTCGGGTCTCGGCGGTCGGAAGACAAGTGGCCGAGGCCCACGTGGACCACTACCAGGCCTCGGTCCCATCAGGCCAGGAGCCGGGTTAGGTCTTGGTCCCCTTGGTCTCTGCATGCTGTGGCCTTTACGGTGGCTGTGTTCCATGATGATGTGCATGATACGCCCAACTGCCACTGTTAACAAATAAATACATATCTTAAAGAAAAATAGAGAAAAATTATGTAAGCTGGTGATTATGAGCGAAGGTTCTATAGACACCTGGGGCCAGATTCACGAAGCAGTTACGCAAGTACTTACGAACCTGTACATCTTTTTCTCAATCTTTGGCGGCTTTGTTCACAATAATTAAACAGTTAATGAGCTCTGAAGCACCAGGATGCTGTTTATAACTATAACAACAGTTGATTGGGCAGTATTCAGGCTTGTAAACTGTTTAATAAATGTAACCAAAGCTGACAAAGATTGAGGAAAGATGTACACGTTTGCAAGTACTTGCGTAACTGCCTCGTAAATCTGGCTCCTGTTGCTGATCCATCTCCTGTGATTTTGTTAGACCTGTACAAAAGTACAGTTCAGTTTGACAGTTCCTCAGTCTGTTCACCTGCCTGTACTCACCTAGTTGTGCTTGCGGTGGTTGAGCTGTGGCTCTTTGGTCACAACTTGCGACTGTCAATCAGATGGTGTACAGGTTTATTCATCCCCCCCCAATCATTCTGGGGTGTTGGGAGGGATTCTGGTATGGTGGGGGTGGGGGGGATTCTGGTGTGGTGGGGTGGGGTGGGGGGGATTCTGGTGTGGTGGGGGAAGGGGGGATTCTGGTGTGATGGGACAGGTTCATGGGGAGGGGGGGGGGTTATGGGTGATAGTGGGGGGGTTCAAGAATAGTGGGGAGGTTAAAGGATGGAGAGGGGGTTCAAGGGTAGTGAGGGGGGGGGGTTCAATAATGGTGGTGGGGGGGTAGGGTGGTGGTGGAGAATTTCACGGGTTATAGGGGGTACAGGTGATAAGGGGGGGGGGGGTTCAGGGGTGATAAGGGGGGGTTCAGGGGTGATAAGGGGGGGTTCAGGGGTGATAAGGGGGGGTTCAGGGGTGATAAGGGGGGTTCAGGGGTGATAAGGGGGGGTTCAGGGGTTATTGGGAGGTTGAGGGGTGATAGGGGGTTCAGGGGTTATGGGGGATTCAGGTGATAGGGGTTCAGGGGTGATAGGGTGGGTTCAGGGGTGATAGGGCGGGTTCAGGGATGATAGGGGGGTTTAGTTGTGATAGGGTTGCGGATTATTTTATAAACAAATTCTAAGAAGCTTTTTAACAGTATTGCGCCCCGGGCGTGCGCTCTGCGCATATGCACAAAGTAGCCCTGGCGGTGCGTGCGGGCGAGCGCTCGGCGACACCAAATGTGTATACCTGTTTCAGTTTTCTCACCTTAACACTTTCGCGCTTTAGATTAGAGATAACTCGTCGCCGTTTTCTCTTACGATTCCGCATAACAGCCTACTTTTCTCGTCCATCGAAAAAATATTTCTATAAATTCCATTTCTTAACCGAAATGGATGGGGATACTTTTGTTTTGTAGAGAATTTATTTGCGAATTTTTTGGTACCAGAATGAATATTATATCACATAAACTTCTATGAGTAAAAAAAAAAATACACAAAGTATGTTTGGGGGTGTGGCGAGCGTGTGGCAGTGGGTTCCCTTTAGCCGTTGATATATCCAACACGTGGGAAATATTTGTATGTGTTATGTATATGTCTGTGTAGGGAATTTTACTGCGATCACTGTCATACAAATTATAAAATGTTTCAACACGTATAAACATGACAAACATCAAACGAACGAAAACAATGCGTTCGTTTCTGCCGCGAACGCATACTGAGCGACGTGGTTCTATATTTGGCGCTTCTCTTACACATGCTTTGTACAAATGTTATACAGTTCATCTTATAGAAAATTTTATTGCGAACACATTGGTATAAAAAAGAAATACGTACATAGAAAAGTATGGTCAGGAAACGTATAAACGTTCCAAGCATGATTTCCCCCCTGTGTTTTCGCCAGTGCGCTCGCGGCTAACTACTCTCTACTTCACACACTCTTGCGGGTGGGCAATTACCTATATTAAACATTCATATGCATATGTCCGTGTAGAGAATTTTATTGCGATTCCAATGATACCAAAATTAGCGATGTAGGACAACTGTAGGCTTCCCAACCATTAAAAGAATGGAAACATTTTGTTGCTGTTTGGCGCTCTCGGCGAGTGATCTGCAGTTTTTTATTTGGTGTTGATACTCCTTATGCTTGGGCGGCATTTTATAGGTATGCTCTTATAGACAATTTCATTGCGAACACAGTGATACCAAATTTAAATACGTGCGCCTTCAATTATTGTCAGGACAGTCAAAAGAGTGTACACTTTTTCGGTCTTACCGCGTAGGCGCGCAAAGTGCCGAAAGCATCTGGGGTATTGTTTTTTTTTGAGCGCCGAGAGCGCGAAAGTGTTAATTCTCGTGCTAGGTCCTTCGTTTTGGTATTAATGTGCTCGCAATTAAATTCCCTGCAGGTGTATATGCATATATTGTCCAAAAGCCCAGCGTGACTTTCCTTAGCAAAGCCTAAAGTTACCCGTGAAGGAGAACCAATTATCACACCCGCAACCAAACGTATTCACCTAGTTGTGTTTGCGGGGTTGAGCTTTTACTCTTTCGGCCGCCTCTCAACTGTCAATCAACTGTTTATTACTTTTTTTTTTCTCCGCACCACACACACACCCCCCCAGGAAGCAGCCCATGACACCTGACTAACTCCCAGGTACCTATTAAATGCTAGGGCCATAGGGTGAAAGAAACTCTGCCCATCGTTTCTCGCTGGCGCCCGGGATCGAACCCGGGACCACAGGATCACTTTTCCAGCGTGCCGGCCGCTCGGCTCCCATACGTGTATACAGTATAAATGTGTATACTTATTCAGTTTGATAACATCAATTTTTGTGTTACGTCACTCATTTTGGTATCAAATTGTTCGCAATGTAAAGGTGTACATTTTAAAACTAGGCCCATAATAATAGAACAATAAATAGAATTTTAACAAATACCCAGTATTCTAAAATTTTGACCAAAAACGTATTTATAATCTTTCAAGTGTCAAAAGCGTATTTATAATCTTTCAAGTGTCAAAAACGTATTTATAATCTTTCAAGTGTCAAAAACGTATTTATAATCTTTCAAGTGTCAAAAACGTATTTATAATCTTTCAAGTGTTTTGACATTAAGTTTCAAGTTACATCTTTCATTTTGGCATCAAATTGTGCGCACTCTAATGGAGCTTATTTTGAAGCTATCCCGAAGTCGCTCGAATAAAAAATGAATTTTATACAAATATTTTTGTATTGGATGCGAGCGCTCTCCAATGCTAGGACTTGAGAGGAAAAAAGTGGACGTGAACGGTGTCCAAAGCGAGCAATAGTGTTAACTATAATTTGAAAGCATGGTGTTATCAGTCAAGTTCAACCTTGCCTCACAATAGGGGGAAATTTCGGGTATGAATCCTGGGCAGGGGAGAAATGGTTTGGGGTGTTATCTATCACCTAATGCCCCAGTTCACCTAGCAGTAAATAGGTACTCAGGAGTTAGTTAGCTTGTTGTGGGGTTGCATCCTGGGCAAGGTCAGTAATTCGGCCCTGGGCGGGTGACTGCGATATAACCCTAACGGGTATATATTCACTGGCTGTTTGTCGCCAGCACAATGAATTATTATTATTACCGTATTATATACTGTATATTCAAAATAGTGCTGCATAGTGAGAACTTGGTACAAATTCTTAACAGTACTTTCAATAATCTCTTATGTTGTCTAATCTGAAGCACAATCTCACTAAATTATATAAGACCAATAAAAATAGTACAGTATAGAAATACAGTACCTTTATTATTGATACTTTGTAAGCTCTGTACTTCTTTTCATATGTTAAGAGCAGTGTCTTACTGACTTCACATGAAAACATCAGCAAAGCCTTATTAATTACAACTATGAAGAATGAGCTGCTGCTGATTGAGTCAACAAGACAAAAGCAATTATACAGAATAATGACCTAATACAATAACACTGAGCATGTTGGACTCAAGAACCCAACACAGCCCCTCAACATTTTGATGTAATGCACCACGGTCATCCCAGGAAACTCAAGGTATTCAAACACAATGAAGACCTCCAAATTATATGGGAAAATATGGGAAAATGGAAGAAAATTGTAACTGCATAATGCCTTGAGCTGTACCTTTGACATCCTGTTGATTGACAGCCTGGATGTGTAGGTAGAGGGGGCGGTCGCCAGGACTCTTACTCGGGTTCTTGAGCTCTTCCTGGTTCATGTAGCGTCCTCGTGTTGACACTGCTGCACCCGACATCTGCATAACAACATTAAAATTCTTTCTTTTAAATCCAATTTAGTTAAGAGAAATCTTTATAATCAAAATAGCAGATTAACTTGTACTTCTGCCATAACAGACCATAACTTACTTTTACATGCTCAATTATTATAATTATTACCATAACACCAAATTTGTTATTTTCAGTGTTTATCATGAATATGCATGTGTGTGTGTTCTCACCTAGTTGTGTTTGCGGGGGTTGAGCTCTGGCTCTTTGGTCCCGCCTCTCAACTGTCAAACTAGTGGTGTACAGATTCCTGAGCCTACTTAGCACTATTATATCTACATTTAAAACTGTGTATGGAGTCAGCCTCCACCACATTTCTGCCTAATGCATTCCACCTGTTAACTACTCTGACACTGAAAAAGTTCTTTCTAACATCTCTGTGGCTCACTTGGGTACTCAGTTTCCACCTGTGTCCCCTTGTTCGCGTACCGCCAGTGTTGAATAGTTTGTCCTTATCTACTCTGTCAATTCCTCTGAGGATTTTGCAGGTAGTGATCATGTCTCCCCTCACTCTTCTGTCTTCCAGTGTCGTAAGGTGCATTTCCCACAGCCTTTCCTCGTAACTCATGCATCTTAGTTCTGGGACTAGTCTAGTGGCATACCTCTGAACTTTTTCCAGCTTCGTCTTGTGCTTGACAAGGTACGGGCTCCATGCTGGGGCTGCATACTCCAGAATTGGTCTTACGTATGTGGTGTACAAGATTCTAAACGATTCCTTACACAGGCTCCTGAAGGCTGTTCTGATGTTAGCCAGCCTCGCATATGCCGCAGACATAATTCTCTTTATGTGGGCTTCAGAAGACAGGTTTGGTGTGATATCAATTCCTAGATCTATCTCTCTTTCCATTTCATTAAGTACTTCGTCTCCTTTTCTGTATCTTGTGTCTGGCCTCCTGTTCCCACCACCTAGTTTCATTACTTTGCATTTACTCGGGTTAAACTTTAGCAGCCATTTGTTGGACCATTCATTGTGTGTGTAATTACCCATTTGTAATTACCCAAGTCTAAATACTGTACCTAAGTGTAGTTACAGCATGAGAGCTATGCTCATGGTGTCCCATCTTCCCAGCACTCATAACGCTCTGAAACTACTGACGGTTCTGGCCTCCACCACCTTCCCACTTAACTTGTTACAACTGTCTACCACTGTTTGCAAAAGAAAACTTTCTAATATATTTTGGGCACCTATGTTTCCTCAGCTTGAATCTATGACTTCTTGTTCTTGATGTTGCAAGTTTTAGGCCGTTTCAAATTGACAAATTTCTCTTTGTCAACTTGGTCACTTCCCGTTATTATTTTAAGTGGTAATTATATCGCCTCTTTTTCTTCTATCTTCACGCTTTGGCATATTTAATGCCTGTAGCCTCTCTTAATAGCTCTTGTTTTTCAGGTCTAGAAGCCATTTTGTTGCATGCCTTTGCACCTTTTCCAGTTTATTGATGTGCTTCTTGAAATCTGGGCACCATACAACTGTTGAATATTCCAATTTTCGTTTCACAAAAGTCATGAACAGTTTCTTAAGTATTTCACCAACCATTTAATTAAAAACAATTCATTACTTGAAATGTGCAGAATATACTCCTCGCATAATGTTCTTTGTGTGTGTTCCTATGATGACATTCTATTATCCAGTACAACCCCCTAAATTTCTCTCTCTGTTAGAGTTCTTTAATTCCTTTCCACATAATTTATAAGTTGTGTGGGGTCTATTTTCATCTATTCCTCATTCCATAACATGTTATTTATTTACATTGAATTCCATTTGCCACATGGTGCTCCAAGCACATATTTTATTTAGGTCAATTTGAAGGGCATGACAATCATCTATGTCTCCTACCTTGGTCTGTAGCTTAGCATCGGCAGCAAACATGTTCATATAATTCTGTATTCTTTCTGATAAATCATTTAAGTAGATGATGAACATTACTGGTGCAAGAACCAAACCCTGTGGTAGTGACACTCCTCCAGTCAGACTCTGATTACCACTCTCATCTTTCTGTCAGAATTTTTCATCCATGTCAGCAGTCACCCTGTCACCCCTCCAGCATGTTCGTTTCCAAAACAGCCTCTTGTGTAGGACTCTGTCAAAAGCTTTTTTAGGTCAAGGTAGACACAGTCAACCCAACCATCTCTTTCCTGTAGAATCTCTGTTGCTCTGTCATAAAAACCAAGTAGTTACACAGGATTTTCCCATTCGAAAACCATCTGTTTGTCTATTATTGTCATTACTCTTCATGTGTTCTATCCATTTGGTTTAACTATTTTTTCTAGTGTTTTGACTACACTTGTTAATGACACGGGTCTATAAACTAGAGGGACTTCTCTGCTACTATTTTTGTAGATTGGGTCTGTTTGCATTTTTTTCCAAATATCTGCTAAGATTCCTGTGGACAAAGACGTCTGGAACAGCAGTTGAAGTGAAACGTTTAGCTCAGTTGCCCATTCTATCAGCACCCAAGGTGAAACTCCATCTGGTACAACAGCTTTATTTCTTCCTAGCCCCTTGAATAAATTTTCCACCTCATTTCAAGACACCTTTATGTACTCTCTGGTGTTCTCTAGAATTGGCATTGTCTTGTTCTCTGAAACTAAATGAACCTTACAACATTCTCAGTGAACCTGTTCCCCCATTCACAGTCTCTGGATTTTATCCTTTACATGCAGCTTGCTTTTAATGAATTTACAAAAAAGGCCTGGATCTGTTTTGCATTTGTCTGCAACCGATTTCTCAAAGCTACTTTCTGCCTCTCTCCTCACTGCTGTATATTTGTTTCTTGCTTGTTTGTAATGCTGGTATGTTTGAGGGTTAGGCCTCTTCCTATATTGTACCTATTTTCTTGTCTTTTCCTCTCTGGCCCTCTCACAATTTCTGCTGAACCAATACTGTTTTCTGGTTTTACATCTTTGTTTTGGTATACACTAAATATTTTTTGCAACTTCATTGTATATTTCACAAAATTTGGTATACATCTCATTTACTTCCTTCCCTATCAACTAGTCTTACCAATTAAATTAATTAAAGAATTTGGAAAGTTCCTCGTAGCATCCTCTTTTAAAATCAAGTTTTGTCAATTACCATACTGTATTTCAATTTTGCCATTGTCTTCTAGATTATATTGCATCACATATCTAATTTCAAACAGGACATGGTCACTCTTTCCCACGTGAGGGAGGTAATAAAGTCAATTATCTCCTCTTCATTCCTGGAAAATGCCAAATCCAGCAATGATGGAGCATCATCTAATCTTACTCTTATGGGCTGTTTTACATGTTGATTCATAAAAGATTCCAGGATGAGGTTTATGAACTGGCTAGTCCAAAAATCCTCTGTTCTTGCTTCATAGTCTTCCAAGTCTATCGATTTTAAATTGAAGTCACCAAGTATCAACAATAGTGATTAACTTTATATGTTTTTACAATAATTTCTCAGGATCATTATAAGGTCCCTCTCTTTTGTCACCAAGCTGCTCCTTAGTCCATGCATTGCTTGCTGGTCGACTGTATGCAGCAATGATTATTAGTTTATCGTTCTGACTGCAAATCTCCAGTGCCATTATGTCTACTTCTCGAGGGTTGTCAAATATCAATTCTCTTGCCTTTAGCCGTTCCTTTGCCAGGATTGCAAAATTCCCACCTTTTCAAACTATTTGTCGCATCTCCAAATAGCATAGTCCCTTGGGAATACCACCTCATTAAAATTTTTGTCCTCCAGTTTCGTCTCTGCTAGTGGGATAGTATCTGGCATTTCAAGCTGAATTATATAATTTAACTCCAGTATTTTTTACCTTACCCAACTTATGTTCATATACACAATTTTCAGGAAGATGGTCCCTCCTTCTTTGCCCTTCACACTTCTTTCCTTTAATGAGTTTGTTGATTTGCTTTCGTGTACAATCTCACCAGCTTCCCGATCCCTATCACATTGTAGAAGAAAATAATTTTGTTCATTTCTAATCTCACTTAAGCGTTTTGCTTCAACAAGGTTCAGTTTCCTCTCCTATCTGTCTTCCCTAGAAAGGTCTCGCCTTAATGATTATTGTTTCCCATCATTTTGTAGTTTCTAGGCATTACTAAGCACTTCTGTCATTCCTTTACTCCATTCAATGTCACCCTTAAGGGGTGAGTCTAACCTTTTACATATTTTCCTAGTCTCCAGAAATCACTTAACATTTTTCTTTGACAGGCCTTCCCCTCAACCTACTGTTTTCTCAATGAATTTTCCTCTTCTGATGTTTTGTCCACTCTAGACGGTATCTCCTTTTCCATATATCCAAAAATTATTTTGGATGTTTGGATGTGAATCTATCTACAGTGTTCTGTACTAATTTCTTTCTAGTAACCAATCTTTTCTAACTGCCTGTCTAATGTTTAATCCTAACTTCTCATTTCTGTTCCTGGCTTCGAAACATAATGTATGTCATTACTCTCCCAATTGGATTGGAATATTTCTATTCCAACGTTTTGACAACCATACGTGTCAACAATACAGGTCTATAATTAAGAGGGTCTTCTTTCCTACCAGTTTTGTAAACGTGTAAAACAAGCATTGCTTACTAGGCCAAGCAGTGCAGTTCTGGCTACCAGTCTACTACATATAAAGTACATACAAAATAAATTAACCTATTAACATCATATTTTCACCATAGGGCATAGCAAAATTGCAATATACTGTACATTAGCTAAAACACCATGTTCATTGATTAAAAACATTATTTTAAAATTATAGACACAGAAAAGATTTGGCTTGCCTTGCTGATTTCCTCTTGAGTAGATGACCGTGTGAGGAAGTTTCTGGCACTCATGGGGGCTTCATTGATGCTCACCTCTTCAATGAAGAGGTCATTTGATTTGTTGTTCTTTATCCGGCTCTTGTGAAGCTCGGAGAGCTTTAGCTGACCAGATGCCACCAACATGGCATTAACCTAGAAAATAGATAAAAGAAATGTCAGTAATTAAGTCTTGCAGTTCACTGATTATTTACAACAAAAATCACAAATGATGTGTGCCCATACAGTATAACCTTCAGAGAAAAACAATGTTCATGCACATGGATGTATACACATCTATGTAGATACTGTATTATACTTAAGACAATTATAAAACACTTTCCTTTGCCTGCATATCTCACAATACAAATGTTGTAGAACCTTATTTTTTAACAGCAAGTGAAAGTACTACTGAATCAGGACTGCATCAGGAGTGCCTGATGTTAACCTTCTACCCCCCCACCATTGGATTGACCTAATATGCAAGATACAATGAAGGCCAACAAAGTACCAGAGCATCAGTCAACCTTAAGCAAGAAGCCTTTACCTCTTTATGCAAAACATATGCCAAAAGCTGTCTTGTAAGAGGCATAATGATTTCTACAATTTGGCTATCAATGGGTCTTGAATTCAAAATCCCCCAGGAGGGATTTCAACAGTAACAGGTTCAGCATTGATAATTTGTTGACAAGTCTAATAAAAGTAAGGGTTTGAATCATTAGAAAACACTTAAGTTTACTTACTCTCTCTACTACATTAAACAAGTAGGGGTTTGACATTACATTACTTTCCCTGACCTGTGCATAACACCTTAAGGCGCTCAACCAGTGGTGCGCATAGAGCCTTAAGGCATTTTTAGGTATCGGGAACAATTCAAAACTCCCGAAAGTGAACGGGCTTACGTCCTTTTCCTCAGGATTGCAGTAAACATACGTCATCTGGATGCATCTGGAAAAAATCCTCTACTTCCCTCCTGCCTGTGAAAGCCTCAGTACTGCCATAGCGACCAAGGCTGGTGCATTCAACAGGAGCTCACAGCACCACTGTGCAGCTAGGGGCCACAGAACCAATTAATAATGACGAATAAATAAGTAACTGCAATTATTTTGCAATGATAGTGCCTTTACTATTTTGTATCTGCAGAGTTGAGCTATTAGCTCTTGGGCCCCGCCTTTCTAAACGATCTATTTTTCTCTTATTATGTCTATTACAAATATTTCTAACACATCCAGGAAGTAGCCCATAGCAGCTGTCTAGCTCCCAGGTACCTAGTTAATGATAGGTGAACATGGGCCTCAGGTGAAAGAAACTCTGCCCATTTGTTTCTGCCTGTCGGGAATCAAACCCGGGCCCTTAACACTTTCGCGCTATCTGGACGCGCCGGCGCGTTCGGTTTCGTCTAACGTAAACGCATAGTGGACATAAAGTTATGTCTACTTTTAAAATATTTGTATAAAATTCAATTTTTATCCGATTTACTTTGGGTTTGTTTCAAACTGCGCGCTATGAGGCTCTCTTTCTCACCACTAGGCTGCATGGTACAATAAGTTCATGAAAGGTGTAGATAACTTCGATCAAATGGTATTTTGTCCCAAACGGGTTGCAGGTGGGTGACTTTAGCCGTTTATACTGGTAATTCTTCCCCCATATCATGTATTATATGGATATGTCTGTTTAGGGAATTTTATTCCGATCAATATACAACCAAAAATAACTGTGTGCAACAAGTATAATCTTGACAAACATAACAAAAGTAAAAATATTTCGTGTGTGTTTGACGCTCACTGATATGTTCCAGCGTTGTTTTATATTTGTCGCTATTCTAACTTACGCTTTGTTGATATTTTTTACCTATGGGCACATAGAACATTCTATTGCGAACACATTGACATAAAAATGAATGACGTACATAGAAAATTAATGTCATGAGAGTGAAATAAGTATAAACTTTCAAAGCGCCGTGCGTCGTCCCGTCACCGATACCGGGTAACAATTTCACCACTTCCCACACTCTTGCGGGCGGGCTGCATCATTATTCTACGCTTATATTCATATCACCGTGTTGGGAATTTCATTGTGAGTCCATTGATACCAAAATTAACGCTGTAGAACAAGTGTGGAGGTGATTACAATCCCAAGAGTAAAAACATTTTGTTGCTGATGGGCGCTCACGGCGAGTCATCTACGTAGTTATTTATTTGGTGCTGGTATCCCTATATGTTTCGTGACTTATTTTACTAATGTTCTTCTAGAGAATTTTATTGCGAACACGTTGGTACCAAAATGAAATACGTAGCATGAGAACTAAGGTCAGAAGAGTAAAAAGAGTATACACATTTTTGTTTTTATGCTTAAGCGATAAAAACGCAGCGCGCACATTCGGTTGGCTGAGTGACCTTTGCGGAGAGCGCGAAAGTGTTAAGACTACGACCCCCGAGCGCTGTCCACTCAGCCACGAGGCCCACAGATGATGTGGACCTCGCTGTGATGATGTGATCACAGATGATCCAGACTGTAAGAGAGAGACTACAACACTCAGATATCAGTGAACACAATACTCGTTATGAAGTTCGCAGCACGAGGCAGACAGTCACAATACTCAGACAATATTTCATGCATCTATTCACCATTAAAATGAACTCATGCTCCTTTACAAAATATCCTTTTGGAAATGGATTCATATTCAGTATTTAGTGATAGAAATGTGATGATAGCAATTCTATAGCTAATCTTACCAATGTGTGTAGTGTATCGGAAGCTTTTTCTTGCATCAGTTGATGTTTGTTGGCATTGTTTGTGTCACGTTGCTCAATGCTGTACAGGTATTTTGATATCACCACCACACCCACCAGAACTACTTGTTGGTTCATTATGGTGCAAAAAAATGTTGACATATACATTGTGTGTATATGGGCATAATAATAATGGCAAAAATGTACATTTTATTGATCGAAGATTATAATATTTGAATTTATATTACTACATGACATGAATATTATACATCTATGAGTACCAATATTCTACATGTTCTGTGATACAAATATTATTATTGACAGCCCAATGCATCATTACACGCGAAAAATCCTGGAAAAAGCATTTACGACATGAAGAAAAATACGACATTCAATGCATGCTGTTACAACTTTATATAAACTATGCATGACTACCCTGAACCCTGATAAACAGTCATAAGGTTATTACACTCACAAGAAATACTTAATGGTTCATAATGGTGCATAAAAACGTAGATGTGTGTGTGTGTGTGTGTGTGTGTACAGTACTCACTGTGCCCATAAATTGCTTAACTTCCCTTCTCAATCAAGGTCAAACTATGTCACATACAATATTTTTTTTTTTTTCTGTGATCAAGGAACACATTTTAACAATATTTGAAAGAAAGAAAATTTTGATGGGACTGAAAGTTTACCTGTTGTCAGTTCCAAGAGTTCCTCTACTCCCCAAGGGTCCAGCTCCCCATGGAATCAGGTGCCTTGTGATCGCTTTATCTAAAAGGCTGTTGCTTGGAGCAGCCCACAGGCCCATATTCATTACAACCAGGTTGATCTGCACTTCCTGCAAGAACTTGTTCAACTGTCTCATGAACATCTTCCCTTGTGTTCTGGCAATATTTCATATTTTGGTGGGAAGAGGTTAATGAGCCAAGGACCTATGATGCTCATACAGTGTTCTCCTCTGATTGTGCCAATGGCACCTCTATGTTTCAGTGGCTCTATTCTGCATTTCCAACAATATCCTTCACTCCTGTAAGCTATTTTGTAGTGCATATTTGGAACCAGCCCTTCTAGTATCTTCCATGTATACTGTACATACATTATATAGAAGCATTGTTTTGGAATCCCTGGATTTGAAGGCTCTCATAATCCACCTGACAATTTTACCATATATAAAATTAGGTATACAGTACTGTACAGTATACCTATTGAATACCTGTCGATGATTCCGAGGATCAACGTTCTCTTGGCTCGGTCTTTGAACAGGCCTCATGGTTAGTGGCCTGGGGCCAGATTCACGAAGCAGTTACGCAAGCACTTACAAACCTGTATATCTTTCCTCAATCTTTGGCGGCTTTGTATTCAATTATTAAACAGTTAATGAGCTCTGAAGCCCCAGGAGGCTGTTTATAACAATAACAACAGTTTATTGGAAAGTTTTCATGCTTGTAAACTGTTTAATAAATGTAACCAAAGTCATCAAGGATTGAGGAAAGATGTACACCTTTGTAAGTACTTGGGTAACTGCTCCGTGAATCTGGCCCCTGGTCAACCAGGCTGTTCAGTGTGGCTACTCTCAGTCTGATGTGTGAGTCACATCCTGGATGATCAGGTGCAGTAGAACCTCGAGTGACGATCGCCTCAAATAGTGAGCATTTTGGGTAACGATCGCCCAGATCGCCAACAATTCGTCTCATATGGCGACCGCTCGTTTGAATGACAAGACCACATGGTGGGGTCGCGCTGCTTCTCTCACATTCTCGGACACCTCCAATGATGCAAATGAATCATGTTGTTTTTGTTTAAAGATGCTGAGATATATAGGGTTAACTGCTGAGATGTTGCAAAGCAATGACTTTTTGTAGAAAAAAGAAATTAAATTTTTTTAAATACATCAAATGTCTAAAAGGTTTGTTCGGTGTTCAACAGGTAGACTGCTCTGTTTCTTAAATAAAAAACAAAACAAAAAATAGAAAACAGTTGAAACAATTTGAAAACGGACAAATGCCATAAAGTTTCGTTCAGTGTTTGTCTGGTAGGCTGCTCCATTATTGAGATGTAAATGAAAAATACAAAACAAATGGAATACATTTGAAACAAAGAATGTCATAATGGAGCAGCCTACCCGTCAAACACTGAACGAACCTTTTTGACATTTGTTCTGTTTTTCAAATTTTTTATTTATTTATTATTTTTTTTTATTTAAGAAACATGGAGCAGCCTACCTGCCGAACACCCAACGAACCTTTTGCTATAAAACAAATGAAAAAAAAAAATATTGGACAAATTTGAAGAAAGAAAAAAATGTCATAGAGGTTTGTTCAGTGTATGTAAGGTAGGCTGCTCTATCATTTAAAACATCGAACATCATATTGATGTTTTTCGGTGGTAGAACGGATTAATTTGATTTCCATTATTGTCAAT